TAAAAAAATAAATGAATAAAATAAGGAAATATCAACAAGTGGAGATCAGAAAAAAACAAAGGTGGTTTCTAAAGATACAAAGAGGTTGGGGAATTTGTAAGTATTTTATAAATTAGCTTTTACTTTTAAAATTTAACAGCTGAGAATAAAATAACTAGTCAAAGTTATAGAGACTGTGGTTTGTTGTTGTTTAGTGTCTCTGAGTCGGTTCCGACCCACAGAGACCCTGTATAGGCTTTCCGAGGAATGGCTGGTGAGCTTGAACTGCCAACCTTGCAGTTCAAACTGACTTTGCAGTCCAGGGCATTACCCTCGTAATGAAAACATCAGAGTTACCTGGAATCAGAACTTTACAAAATATACTTTTTGCAACTAGTGGCCTCGCTAGGAATTGGTGGATAGGGTGCAGACCACACTCCCTGACAGTGTCAGAAGGTGTGACACCAAAATGACCTCAGTGTCCATGGTGGGGAGGTGGTGTTGCCAGTGTTGGCATTACCCTTCACCCAGAGTGCAGTAACTTGTCACATCATAACCCTCCACCCCATCAACAACTGGTCAGTGAGCCATGGCACCAGTCACTGGGCAGAGAGGAGGGTCTCCACCTTGACCAATGGGGGGCGAGGACGGGTAGGAAAGTAGAGATGGGTGGATGGCTCTGCAAAGGAGCAGGATGGGTGCTCCACCCATGGGGGGTAGGGGTGGACTGTCAGCCAGCCCCACCCACAGAGTCTAGAATTGACCCCATGAATTACTGCACTGGGTGACACCAACCCTAGTGACACACTGTTTGTATCTAGAAATGTTTTCAATTCTTTCTACTTGCTTTATATGTTATTGCAACCATACTTGTGGTTTCACTCTACCTATAATTTTTTAAAATTTATCCTTACTGAAGAGATTGTTTTCCTCCTTTTACCAGGGATTAAAAACAGAGGTATTTGGCAAGACTTCCAGATACTACAAGGCACTTAAAAAAAGAGTGATGATGCCTCATACACTTTTCTGTCCACACTATAAAAATGGAACAAACACTGAAAAGTTTCGAGCAATTGCCAAGCAGTACCACCATAAATTGCTATGTGACTTAGAATAAATCTTTTAACATCTCTGCTTCAGTTTCTTCATAAATAATATGTGCAAACTACACTGAAGTCATTGGCAAAGAGCAAGGCTCCAAGAATTGATGGAATACAACTTGAAATCTTTCAACAAACTAATGCAGCACTGGAGGCACTCACTCATCTCTGTCAAGACATTTGGAAGACAGCTTCGTGGCCAACTGACTAGAAGAGATCCATATTCCTGCCCATTCCAAAGAGAGGTGACCCAATGGAATGCAGAAATAATCAGACAATATCATTAATATCATATGCAAGTAACACTTTACTAAAAAGAATTCAAACCTGGTTGTAAAAGTACACTGACACGGAACTACCAGAGGTTGAAGCCATATTCAGAATGTGGATGACAGATATCACTGCTGATTGTCAGATGGATCTTGAATGAAAGCTGAAAATTCCAGAAAGATGTTTATCTGTGTTTATTGATTGTGCAAACGCTTTTGACTGTGTGGACAATGACAAGAAGAATTCTGTTTCAGCCTTTATTAAGAATTAGGAAAAATACAAAGAAATAGCTTATGAATCTTCAAAATAAGAGGTAAGAATGATCACATGTTTTCAGTAATTGGTGATTAAGTCAAAGACATTCAATGATCTGACTAGTAGAACTCTGAAGTAGGAAAAAACACCATTTTGGGTTGTCAGTGCCATTTTCTTTTAGTTTGTAAAATGCTTCAAAAACACTGACTCACAGTCCCTCCATTAATCTCAATATACTGATTTTCAGGAGATCACTGAGAAAGATACTAGGTGATTTGGAGGTAAATCTATTTTCACTGGTATAGATGTGAATCATGACTTCTTTCATTGTTTACTGGGTAAACCTCCCTTCCCTTTCCTTCTGAGAAATGTATACAGTAATACATTCTGGGAGCTTCTGGGTTCCAGACCCCTAACTACTATGGAATATTGAAGTTATAGTGGAATTCCATATCAGAACCAGATTATAGCCAAGAAATTTTAAAAAACAGGATCCCTAAGGCACATCCTACCTATGAACTATAATCATTTAGCTCAGAGTCAACAAGAATAAGGAATGGAAAGGTTATCTATGAGCACCTACCTGAAAGTGTTTCTATACAGTTATCCCTCAAAGCTTGTTTGCACCATTCTTTGAAATTCTCAAACTATAATCTCTTGCCATAAAGTCTTCTATCATCCAAAACACTCACTATATACTAATTCGATTTCCCTATTATAACCAGCTTATATGATTTAAAGCACTGCCTTAGTTTTCTTAATCAACATGTTCTAAGTAATGGTCTTAGGTGAACCTAATTGGAAAACCAAAATCAAAATATAAAGGAAATAATTTTAATAGCCTTAATTCTGAACCATTCTAAGTATGAAAACTGTTTTCTGTTTTCTTTCTCTTACTTTTATATTGTTTTATTTCTTTTTTTGTCTCTAAAAGTCAATGTTCTAGGAACTAAATTAAATATAGCCATAGGAGAACTTATGTCATTAGTTTATATTTAAAATTTTTTTTTCTTCAATGCTCTCAGGAAGAATTTTTAGTGAAGCTAAATATAAGGCATAGTGGTTGACATGGGTTACTGAGTTAGATTTAGACTCAAATTTTAGTTCTATCATTAGCATATTTCCGGTACTGTCCCTTAAATTTCACTTTCCTTCTCCTGTTAAACTGGGAGAGTAACACCTACTCTAAGGGTTGTTGTTGTTAAGTGCCATCGAGTCAGTTCCAACCCATAGCAACCCAGTACAGGGTTTCTGAGAAGCAGCTGATGAGTTTGAACCAGCAACCTTGTAGTTCAAACTGACTGCAGTCCAGTGCATTAGCCCACAGTGCTAAATGAGATGATGTAAATGATATCTGTGAAGCACACTGCACAGAGCCAGGCACATGGTAATTACTGAGTAAATGATAGCTATTATTTTGTACACAGCACTCTGAAGGCACAATGGTTAAGCACTTGACTGCTAACCAAAAAGTTGGCAATTAAAATCCACCCAGCAGTTCAGTGAAAGATAGACCTGCTACTGCTTTTCTTCTGTAAAGATGACAGTCAAGAAAACTCTATGGGGCAATACTACTACTCTGTCACATGGGGTTGCTATGAGTCAGCACATCAACAGCACATGACAACATTATTTTGAACACACACCTTAACTGAAAATTATAGAAAATGAAGAAAAATATCCTTAATTCTACCATCCTATAGGAGTCCTGGTTGATGCGCTGGAATGGAAAGTTGATTTAAACCACAAGGTCAATGGTTCAAGCTCACCACCCACTCCTTGGAAGCCCTATACAGGGTCGCTATGGGTTGGAGCCAACTCAACAGCACTTAACAACAACAACAATGTAGTAATACACTCCTGGTGTGTCACTGTAGGATCAGCACTGGACTGTGAACCACAAGGTCAGCAGTTCAAACTTACCAGCTGCTCCTCAGAAACCCTGTGCAGGGTTGCTATGAGTCGGAACCAACTCCACGGCACTTAACAACAGCAACAACATAGTACTACAAACAGACACATGGTGTGGCACTTTAGGATAAGCACTGGACTGCTAACCACAAGGTTGTTGGTTCAAACCCAGTGGTTGTTCCTCAGATACCCTAATACAGGGTCTTAAGGAGTCAGAACCAACTTGAAGGTGCTTAACAACAGTAATAACATGAATCTCTTTGCAATTTGTGTCCATATATAAACTTATTTTTGCATTATTATCAATGTAATCTGTAATTGTGTCACTTACAACACTATAATCACTTTTCTATGTTATCATGTAGGGTTCATAATTACCCTTTTAATTTACTAAATGAGATCTTATTAAGTATGCAACTAAAATTTAACCTTTAAACTCCTGTCAAATATTTAAGGCTTGCTTTGATATGACAAATAATGCTACAAATACCTTAATTTAATCATTAAATTCCTGTCAAACATTTTTATGAATAAAGCTTTTTCATTCTGTGGGAGTCTTTCCTTAGAATTAATTCCCAAGGTAGGCTTTTTAGAGTAAGTAAGAGTCCTTCATGGCTTAGTTTTACCAAGCTGCTTTCCACAAGTTTATACAATTTGTAGTACCTACACCATGGTGCATAAATGTCATCTCCAAAATTCAGTATTAATACTAATATATTAAATGTGTACCCCACATGAAGTACTGGGCTAAGTGCTTAATGTATTATCTCATCATCTTCAAAACAAATCTCTAAAGTAGCAACTACTAGTTACCCTCTTTTGCAAATAATAAGTTAAGGTTCATAAAGTTTACAAAATATGTTATCCAAGTTCATTCACACAGCAACTAAATGACAGAATTTGGACTCAAACTCAGATCTTGTCTAATGCCACAATACTCTTAATTACTATCTTGATGCTTTACTCTTATTTCAAATAATAACAGATGGACTTTAGTATACAATTTTCTAATTATTTAGGAAAGTTTATATTTTTACATGTTTGTTAAAAACTGTATTTTCTTTTCATATTAATTTATTTGTATTATTTAGCCTTGCTCGTTATGTGGTAGAGTCAATTTCTCTCTTTTTCTCTTACCACTTGCCTCTTTCAAATGTCTCATTTGCTAGCTAAGATAATGACTGGATATATAGGATTGTGAATATGTGACCTAAACAACTAGGCCACCATTCAAAACGTAATTTTCTCATGTACAAAAACATTATGAAAACCTCATCTGAATCAGAATCGACTCAGTGGCACTTAATAACAATGGTTTAACTAGTAAGCAAACCTGGAATTACCTAATAAATCTAATATATATAAAATAAATCTAAACTTTATTATATTGAAAAATATGTTGTTACCTGCATTATGTCTTGCAATATATCCAAGTGCCCAGGCTGCAGCTTCCTTGACTCCAGGGTCAAAATCTTCCAAGCATATCACCAATGTATCCAGTGCTCCACAATCAACTATTGCCTGAGCTAGCTGAGGAGAATGTTTACCAACCGCTCGTAACACAAAGGCAGCTGCTTTCTTGTAAAAACGCTACAATGGTAAAATACACAAAATTCAAGGTGAATTGAACATGTGTGTATAACCAAAATTTAAAATAGATCAAAACCAACATTAAAAATGGCATTAATATGAGTCAATGAAACCTCAGCTTTTAAATATGAAAGATGAAAACATCATGCAAAATCACTGATTATTTTATATTCCCCTACTGCTTTTGTTCAGTACCAAGAGAACAATGTAAGATTTAAATTACACTCATTTTACCCTGAAATATACTTTTGGAAATTATATATGGCAAAATACAAACATTATATTTTCTACAAATTTATAAAATAATGAGATAATTTTATGTATCTGCAATGCACTAAAAGGTATTGGCCCAGGGGAGTTCTTAGATTGTTAGCATGTGTAACTAAACTCCCTGTCAATTGACTAATTAGCTTCCTTTCCTTGCCCTCAATCTTTAGTATGGTAGGCCTTTCTTAACCTAGACTAATCTTTCTGGTGTCCCAAGTTATCCTAAAATAAGGATCAAGTAAACATAAAGGCAAAACATTTGTGGTAACATTTTAACATTTTTCCTGGCAAATAAATTAATCAAACAATGGGATACAAATTATCTATTTCTTATTAGAAATGCTTACTTTTAAGATAAAATCAAATTCACTATTTGAATTTTAAACAGTTTCATATTTATATTTTCTTTGTAAATTTTATCTAATTTTAAAAACGATCAGTTGAAACTGAAACACATGCTTCTCTTATCCCCATCCCACAAAAATTAAATGTATAAAAAATATTTGGCTGTATTTTATGTATGTATTTTATGTATGCATGTATGTGTATATTTTATGTATGTATTTTATGTATGCATACATGCATGTTTGCATTTTATGTATGTATGTATGTATGTATGTGTTTTATGTATGTATGTATTTTATGTATGTATTTTATGACATGGTAACAATCTCTTAACTCTTCCTTTTACTAATGGAACCCAACGAATCATCTACTTTAGATTCTGAGTTTCTATTTGTGTACAGTGGGTTCTGAAAACTGACTATGTGACTACAATGTCTGTTTTAAAAGCATTCTATTTACTTTGGCTAAAATATTAAGATATAATAAAATTCTAGGAAAAAGGGAAAACAAAGTATATTTTTTGTACATAAAGTATCTCAAGAAATAGAAGACATGCTTATAATTTAAGAAATATATTAGTAGTGGTATTAACTTGATATATTTTCTGTATTTAAAAAACATTAATACACAAAATTATGCTAATTATAAACTAAAATTTTAATGATTAAATGTTGGTTATAAAGTTTAATTTTGTGTGTAAGTAATTTACTAAAATTATTTACTGTAAAATTAAGAAACTTTGAAAGTAACTTTCTAAAGACTATTTTCTTATAATTGTGTAAAATAATGGTGACACATTCTTTTCCTTACCTAGCTAATTTGGCGTTTCTATAAAACAGAATTTTCAAGACAATTTACTTGGCATAAGTGGTCACTACTTAACTTCAGTGCCTTTAAATCACTCTTTTATCTTATTCCCTCTTATTCCAATTTCTGCGTCTCCAAATTCCTCAAGTCTTTTCTTTCCCTTTCCTCACCCAAAGAAAAGGGGGGAAAAAAAAGCAAAAACAGAGGACTTTTGTACCTCATAAAGAAGAGGTTCAAGTCTCCTGTCAGACGGGTGGAAGGAGACACAAACTTGTGAATAATAATGTTTCACAGTCTCACTTCCTCCTCACTTTTGTCCCCTAGTTTTTTGTTTGTTTCTTTGCAACTAATGAACATTCATTCAGTTAGCTAACTTCTACTGAGGACCTATGTAGGGATACCAAAACACATCTGTCCTCAAAGGAAAGCACTAGAAGTCCTTCACAGAAGAAATACTCATAGGTTTGGCACTGTAGGATCAGTACTAGACTGTGAAGAAAGTCAGCAGTTCAAACCCACCAGCCACTCATGGGAGCCCTACACAAGGTTGCTCAATCGGAACTACATGATGGCACTTAACAAGAACAACAACATAAAGCAAAATTTGTGGTTGTTATTAAGTGTCGTTGAGTCAGTTCCAACTCATAGCCACCCTGTATAGGCTTATCGAGGAGTGGCTGGGGAGTTTGAACCTCTGATCTTGCAGTTCAAACCATTCTTGTAGTTGAGTGCTTATCTTACAACGCCACACCAGGACTCCAAAGCAAAAATGGTCATTAGTAAATGATGCACCTATCTATAAATTAGAGTATTTCTACACAAATAGAAACTGTTCATTTTTATTTTTTAATTGTGGTAAACTACATATTTTGTCATGGGAGAAAAGATGAGGCTTTCTACTCCCACAAAAATTTACAGCTTTGAAAACCCTAAATAGGGTTCTTATGAGTCAGAACTGTCTGAACAGCACTTAACAATGGCAACACATAACATAGCGTCCTGGTGTGGTGCTGTAGAATAAGCACAGACTGCTAACTGCAAGGTCAGTGGTTCAAATCTACCAGCCACTCCTCAGAAACCCTATACAGGGTCACTATGAGTCAGAACATAAAATTTACCACTTCAACATGTACAATTCAGTGGCTCTTAGTACATTCACAATGCCTGGCAAACATCACCATTACCGTGATTCAAAACTATTTCATCAGCCCAAAGGAAACTCCATTCCCAGGAAGCACTCACTCCCCATGTTTCCCTTGTCCCAGTACCTGGAAACCACTAACCTACTTTCTGTTTCTATGGATTTGCATATTCTGTATATTTCATATAAATGGAAACATTCAATACATGACCTTTTATGTCTGGCATCTTTCAATTAGCATAATGACATGCATCATGATGTACTTCATTCTTTGTTGCTGTTAGTTGTCTTCTAAGGAGCTCTGGTAGCATAGTGGTTACAAGTCGGGCTGCCAACCTCAAGGTCAGCAGTTCGAAACTACCAGTGGTTCTGTGGGAGAAAGATGAGGCGTTCTGCTCCTGTAAAGATTTACAGCCTCGGAAACCCTGTGCAGGGTCACTATGAGTCGGAACCGACTCCACGGTACTTACCAATAACCAACAACAATAGTTGCCTTCTAGTCAGTTCTGACTCATAGTGACCTCACCTGGGCTAAGAAGAACTACTCCATGGGTTTTCAAATCTGTAACCTGGGAAGTAGTAGTGAAGCATTTAACCAGGGACTCCATTTTAAATGAGTTAATATTCCATTGTATGCATACACCATATTTTATTTAGCCATTCATCAGTGAATGGACATTTGGGTTGTCTCCATCTTTTGGCTAGTGTGAACATTACTGCAGTGACCATTTATGTACAAATTGTGGAACATCTGTGTACAAACGTGTGTTCATGTTTTTGTTTGAACACCTGTTTTCAATTCTTATGGGCACATAACTAGGAGTAGAAGTGCTGTGTCAAATGATAATTGTATTTTAAACTCAACGGGGAATTGTGAAATTTTTCTACAGTGGCTGCACCATTAAGTTCCCACCAGAAATGTTTGTTGTCGTTACTGTTAGGTGCCGCAGACTCATATGGATCCCATGTACAAGAGTAAAACACTGTCCAGACCTGTGCCATCCTCCCTATCATTGTACACTTGAGACCACTGCTGCTGCCATGGTGTCAATTCATCTCGTTGGAAATCTTCCTCTTTTTTGCTGACCTTCCACTGACGAAGCATAATGTCCTTCTGGGTCTGGTCCCTCCTGATAGCTTGTCCAAAGTATGAGGGATGAAGTCTCGTCATTCTTGCCTCTAAGGTGCAAACCTCTTCCAACACAGATCTTTTTATTCTTCTGACAGTTTATGATACTTTCAGTACACTTTTTCAACACTATAACACAAAACCATCAAGTCTTCTATGGTCTTTCTTATCCTTATATAACTTTCATTGCACATGAGGTGATCGAAAACACCATGGTTTGGGTCAGGTGCACCTTAGTCTTCAAACTGATATCTTTGCTCTTGAACATTTCAAAGAGGTCTTGTGCAGCAGATGTGCCTAATACAATGCATCGTTCGATTTCTTGACTGCTGCTTCCATGAGTGTTGATTGTGGATCTGAGCAAAATTAAGTCTTTTCTCCAAATAAGGGTTTCAATTTCTCCACATCCATATCAATACTTGTTATTTTCCTTTTTTTATTATTACTATGATCATCCTAGGAGTCCTAGTGTGGTGTTGTGGGATAAAGCACTAGGCACTTAACAATAACAACAACAAGCAGGTGTCATTTTGAGCTGCATTTCCCTGATGACTAATGGCATGGAATATCATATGCCTACCTGCTGGTCATTTCTATGTCTTCTTGGAAGATGTGTCTATTCGAGTCCTTTTCCCATTTTTAAACTGGTCTGTTTCTTTTTGTTACACAAATAAGAATTAAATCGAAATGATATGCCAAGAAAAGTATATCCTTAAGTTATGATTAGACAACAGGATGGAATGAACGGACCAAAAAGGGCTTTAACTATCGTGGAAGCCAAACGGGTCGAGCTGAACAAAAACAAGAATGGTACCACATTGGGGGGTGGGGGGTAGGAGAGGGAACATTTAGATGATCCTTGAAAGGGCTGTCATGCTTATAATGCTTAGTTAAAACATGAATAGTACTTTATTAAACTTACCATTACACATATTCTCATCTTCCTTTTGGTTGCTTTCTTCCTTCTTTTGTCAGTGCTGCCCCTTACTGTTTCCATTAGCCAGATATAGGGATTGTTGTCGAAAGAAACTGTTTTATTTGTCCAGCACCCCACACACATTCCTAAGACTGATTTTACAATTTTGTTTAAAACTCTCATACACAGAAAATCTGCTTTGTGTATAACTCCTTTTAAATTACTTTTAAATAAATAAAGGTATTTATCTTAAATAAGTATTAATAATAAGTTATACAGATAGTAGAATCAAATCATTTTTCTTCTTATATTAACAGTAATGAAGAAAAGCTACAAAATCGGTCTCAAGGCAAAATACCCAAAAGATATTATTATGCACAATTCAGAGCACTGAAGGAAAAATGAACAATAATAATTCTACTACTACACATATGGAACTATATCCAAATTATCAATTTTTAAAATGTAAAACATAATTTATTTCTTAAATTCTTACATTCTGTTCTGCCAGTGAATACACAAGCTGTGGAAGAATGTCGCCCTTCACAACTGCTTCTGCTAGGTCATCGTTGTAATTAGCCAGTCTCCCGAGAGCCAAAGCTGCAGTCTGTTGAATTGTTGGGACCACATCAAGAAGAAGAGGTCGCAGCAAAGACATAACACCTGAGTTAAATTATGAACAAACAGAAATTAGCAAAATTTCAAATAAAAGAGCAAGCATGAAAATTCAGTGTCTATGGAAACAAGAAAACTAAGGGGAAAAAATCAGTGAAGAAAAGTCAAGCTAACCCTAACTCATGGCAACCCATGTAGTATATATCAGAGTAGGACTTGTACTCCATAGGATTTTCAGTGGATGGTGTTTTTAGGTCACCACGCCTATCTTCTATGGTAACTCTGAGTGTACTCACACTTCCAACCTTGTTAGCAGCCAAGCACATAACTGTTTATACCACCCAAGGGCTCCCTGAATTCACTAAAAATTAATGGGATCACTGGAAGCATGTATTTGGCCAAGGCACTGATTAATACAACCTGTAATCATCAAAGATGCAGCACTACATGGAAAGAACAAAGGCTTTAAAGTTAGATAAGAATTTAAATCTCTGATTCTGCAAGTTTAGTGGCATGACAGTGTTCTCATGAGAAATGCAAGGAAAGGTTGTAAAGCTGACACTATAATGCCCGTTGTGGTGTTGTTACGTGCCATCGAGTAGATTCTGATTCATAGTGACCCTGGATTTTCTAAGGAACAAGCAGTGGGTTTGAACTGCTGACCATGTGGTTCAGAGGCCAGCACTGACTCTATAGCACCACACCAGAAGTCCATATAATGCCTAGCACATGGCTAACGTGCGCACACACACAGAAAGAAAAGTAAGTTTTTCTCTCAGCTTTTGCAAATCCTCTTTCAAGGCTCAGCTTCTTCTCATTGAAGTCTATCCCAGTGGTTTTTCTTTGATCCCAACTGTACTTATAGTTTATTTCAGAAATTTTAACAGGGTCTGGACTGCTAACCACAAGGTCAGCAGTTCAAATCCACCAGCTGCTGAGTCAGAACCAACTCAACAGAACTTCTTAACAACACATTAGCAAAGGAACTAAAAGAATCATTTGGTGAAAGCCTTACTTTCAAGAGAGCTGCAAACACAAATTTCTGACATTATCTCCAAATAAATAAATGAGTTCTTTCAGATTAATGACGTATATCTTATTACTGTCATTGTTGATAAGTGCCATTGAGTTGGTTCTCCGAGGAATAACTGGTGGATTTGAACATTTGACCTTTGTGGTTCACAGTCCAGTGCGGATCCTATAGTGCCACACCAGAAGTCCATCTTATTAGTGACTCTTATAATAAGGAGCTCTGGTAGCATAGTGGTTACGAATCAGACTGTGAACCGCAAGGTCAGCAGTTCGAAACTACCAGCTGCTTCATGGAAGAAAGAGGAGGCTTTCTGCTCCCGTAAAGATTTACAGCCTCGGAAACCCTGTTCAGGGTCGCAATGGGTCGGAACTGACTCGATGGCACTTAACAACAACAACAACATAATATTCATCCAGAGTTTAATGGATAGCAGGTACATCATCACCATCTTAACAGAAAAATAATAAAAATAACAATTTATTGAGCACTTATTATATGAGGGGGGCTTCAAAAAGTTCATGGAAATAAAAAATTTGAAGATTAAGGAATTTTTCCACAAACTCTCTGAAGTCCCCTCAGATTCTAAGAATTTTAAGAACTTGTTTTCCATGTTAATTCATTTAACCTTATAGCAAACATATGAAGTAGGCCCTGTTATCTCTATTTACAGGTGAAGACATTAAGGTTGAGAAAGGTAAAGTAAATTGTCAAGCAACTACTAAATGATGTAGCCAGGTAAGGAATATAGACATTATTAATCATTGTTAAATAAATTTTATGTGCTAAAACACAGGTAAGTTATAGAAAGGAAGGCAAATGATAATTACATTTTGATCATTTTGATGGATACTCCAACTATTTATTCCAGCTTTGCCTTATTGTAAAATTTGCAATATAGTTGACTACTATTTCTGTTTTAACAATGGTAGTTTAGCCTAATGACAGAATTTGAACCGCAACAAGTACCCTAGACTTTCTAAATTTTACTTAATCCATACCAGGTTATACAATTTGAATAAAGAGCCTTGGTAGTACAGTAGTTAAAGCACTTGGTTGTTAACCAAAATATTGATGGTTTGAACCCACCAATAGCTCCAAAGGAGAAAGCTACAGCAGTCTGTTTCAGTAAAGATTTACATACTTGGAAACCTATGAGACAGTTCTACTCTGTCCTACAGGGAAGCTGTAAATTGTAATCAACGTGATGGCAACTGGTTTGATATTCAACTTGATGTTGCTACATCCTTTCTTTAAAAACAAAAGAGATACAAAAGAAGAAAGGAAAAAAAACTATCAATATTCAGATATGTTTAAAATAGAATAAAAAGAAAATATTTTCATTTAGGATTAGATCAAAATTAGATTTAATAATAATAATAGCACATCCACTCTTCACTTACTGAGATTGATAGGTTCCAAAAACCAGGGTGTTATGTGACAGGGGAGGATGACATCACCTAACCCCACACACACTTGTGCTGTGAAAGTCCCACAGGATGTCTTACTGATGTAACCTGCCACTGCCACCTCTCCTTCCTCTCCCCCATGTGTCTGCAAGAGGGGGCTGCCCAGTCTTCCAGGACCAGAGTGGCCCAAATATCACCTCTTCCCCATTCCTGGGGTCCCTTCCCTCTCCTGCTCTCACCATATTGTCAGAATGGGTAACCCCAGCTCAAGCCTTCAACAACCCAAAAATAAATGTCCATGGTAACTTTGTTGGGGGCAGGGGGAATCCCTGTCCTCAGGAGGGAGGGTCTGGGTAACAGTGGGCAGGAGGTGCATGCTGCCAGCTAGGTATCCCTGCCAGCCCCTTGTGCAAGCATACTCTCCAAACCTCCATCCTCCAGGAGAACCAACAATCCAGTACTTCTGTCAAGGCCATGATGGCCAGGCCTGGCCTTGGACATTGACCTTAAACTGTAGCTACCACAGGCCACACACCTGATGGCCCCACCCCCACCTACACAGACTGCTCCACTCTCACCTGTGCCCACCCTGGAGGGAGCATCAAGGAAGGTTAAGGGGCTGCACAGGTGCTGGCCAGTTGACATAAGGTGTCACAGGCCCCAGGCCCTGGAGTGTTCCATCTCAGAACTCCTTCTGACCACAACCCAGCTGGTTCCTGCCACTCTTTAGGCTGAGAGTTGAGACCAGATTCTAGGGTTCCACTTCCTCCCAAGGGTGGCCCACTTTCAGGACACTGGCTTTTGCTGTCCCAGCCTGAGCCCCCTGGGAACAACCAGGACGTGGCAGGCAGCAACCCATCCCTGTTAGCTCCACTTCAGCCGCTTCTCTGCTCTGCCTGACACTCTAGCAGCTTGAGACCATGCCCCCTTTTCTGCTCCCAGGAAGGAAAATATTTCCCTCTACATGCACACAGGGTCCAACAGTAAGAGACCTTGTCAGGACCTCAGGCTTCCTTACTGCCAGATGTGTGTCATTAATGTGCAAAATTGTCCGATTTTTTAACTATTGTGGTAACTGCAAAATATCAGATGACAAGACAGTTGATAAGTGAGTATATGTGTTATCAAATAACACAAGCTGAGAATGATGATGCTTATTACAGATACAGTTAATGATGTGACCTTAGATAACAACCTCAACAATCATGTGGATCGCTCATGTTAAAGAAATGGAAATGCCTATGTTTGTGGATGGTGTTTGTTTTATTGTCTGAGCTTTTTAAAAATATATAGATAATTTATTAAACTCACAATAAAACATTTGTACTGCAGAATAAGGTATTAGAATGATGACTGCCAAATAAATGTTAATGCAGATTATTTCTAGAAAGTTGGATTTAAAACAATTTGACCTCTTCTTGGTAATTTTCTTTAAGTGATATTTTTATAACGAATATGTATAATATTACATAAAATAATAATCACCACTCTAAAAAAGAAAATGCAGGTTTATTAACATATATTTAAAGTTTCACAATAAATGCTTTAATAAGACCAAGAAATATAAAGAATAAGTGTGCTTAAGATAGCTTAAAAAGAATCACAATTGTTTCAGGTAGATATTTTTTCTTGATCATTTTGCTGTTTTTTTCCCCACTTGATAAATTTATGTGAATGTACCAGCTTATCTTTTGAAATATAATTGGGAAATCGGTCCATATTGGGTTATTTAATGAGATATTTTCAGTTAAACCCTAAGAACTTTGAACTTTTCTTTAAGGATTGGAACAATGGATTAATCTGTTTTATAGCTAACATTTAACTCAGTTATATCTTTATTATTAGTTACATGATATAGTCTATCTACTACAATCTCCTCATTTCAGAAGATTTCCACTTGCAATTTTAGCAGTAAAGTTATTTTGCTCCCTATCTCTCTCACATAAAGGTATTTCACTTGTTTATATACTAGCATTTTCTGTTTTAGATCATTTTCTCCTTCATTTTTCTATGGCATCTGGCCCATGAGAGGCAAGCCCAATAAAATGACTCACAATTCCTTTCCTTCTATTCCAGTACCAACATCAAAGCTGGGTTTTTGTGTGGATGGGTATGCTCCTCGGAAACCCTATACAGGGTCGCTATGCATCGGAACCCACTCGACAGCACTTAACAAGTTAAAGTGTCAGTTTGAAATATTTGAATAAGGTAATTTTATTAAAGAACAAAATTTTATTCTCATAAAAATACTGCCACAAATTTCTGTTTCCTCAATTACCACTTAATGCTTCCCAGGTAGTTCTCTTTCTCTACAGGGATGTTCTCACCTCTTACACAGATTTACCATGGAGATTTTGCTATTCTAACTATAGATTTGTCCTAAGGATACACTTAAAAACGCAAGAGGAACGGAAAGAGAAGAACAAATAAGGAAAACAAGAAAAAAACACATAAGTAACATATAACAACAATTTTTTCCTTACCTGCCTGTCCAATAGGAATCCAGAGATCCATGGTGAGTGAATGCATGAAAATGTAGAGCCCATAAATTATAACAGTTTCAGTAGTTACCACAACATCTTATAAGCAGGCCTCTATCCAGTGAAGGG